GGGTCCCCCTCCCCAGGCTGTGTTCCCCCCTCCCCAGGCCGGGGCCCGCAGGATGTAGTCTGGGAGGGGCACACGGCGGGGGGGGGGGGATCAGGCCCTCAGGCCACACTCCGAGCCTGGCTGGAGGGAGGGGTGGACGGTATGGAGCCCCTCCCATGGTGGACCCCAAAATTGGCTGTTCTGCCGAAGCTTTTTCGGGGGGCTCTGGGAACAGTGGGGACCTTTGTCTCCCAAGAGACAGTCGTCGGTGCCAAGGCTTTAGAGAAGAGCTAGGGTCTCCAGTATGCGGCCCCCGCTGGCCCCGAACCCTGGAACCCAGCCATGGTTGTCTAGAACCCTCTGCCTGGCCCTGCCCTGGTTTGAGTGCAGTGATGGATGAAGGCGCGTGTGACCCAGTCTGGGGGCGCAGCCTGGCGCCCCTGGGGGCCCCAGAACCAGGACAGCCAGGGGCCTGCCCGGCTGCTCTTGGCGCCTCCTCCAGTCGGTGCATCCGTCCTGCGGCCCTGGGCAGCTGAGCCTCCGAGACCCTCACAGACCCCTCTCTCTTCCCCAGGGGCCAAATCGGCTGCTCTGGCCGCCTGGCCACCCCAGTCTGACCAATGTCCACAGCCAGGTGAGCCCCCTGTCCCCCCCAGCCCTGGCCTGGCCGCGAGAGGCCCTGCTGAGGGTCCGTCTTCCCCCCCACCAGGGAGCAGCCCATCTTCAGCACTCGGGCCCACGTGTTCCACATCGACCCTACCACCAAGCGGAACTGGGTCCCTGCCGGCAAGCACGCCCTCACCGTCTCCTACTTCTACGATGCCACCCGTAACGTGTACCGCATCATCAGCATTGGGGGCGCCAAGGTGCAGCCTGGGGTGGGGGTGGGGGCACACCCAGGGAGGGCGGTCCCCTTGGCCCCGGTCATCCCGGGACTCACAGTCACCTTGACCTCCTGACCCCTGCCCAGGCCATCATCAACAGTACCGTCACCCCCAACATGACCTTCACCAAAACCTCCCAGAAGTTCGGCCAGTGGGCGGACAGCCGTGCCAACACCGTCTATGGCTTGGGCTTTGCGTCTGAACAGCATCTGACCCAGGTGGGCGGGGAGAGGGGAGGATGCTGTGCGGGTCCCCATCTCCGTGAGTCTGTCTGCAGAGCAGGTTCATAGTTAAAGGAGCCTCCCCATGTCCCTGCTTTGCCCCAGGCTCTTGTGCGGCTTATTTTCCCATTGGAGGCAGATGGTGGGCCCTGGCCGGCTGTCCCTGGACAGAGGCTCCTCCCCCGGGTCAGCCTTGTCTGTGGCCCCCCCCTTTGCTTCCCCTCTTGGGTCTTGAACTCAGGGCAGGGGCTCTGTTCCTGAGTGTTTTCCTCTCTCAAGGCTGGTGATCTACCATGTGAGCCACAGCTCCACTTCTAGCTTTTTCTTGGTGGAGAGATCTCATGCACTTCCCTTCCTAGTCTGGCTTTCAGTCTCGATCCTCGGCTCTCAGCCTGAGTAGTGAGGATGACAGGTGTGAGCCCCTGACACCTGTATCCCCGCTGGTCCCCCTGAGCAGAGAGCTCACAAGCACGGCCACACCAGGCTTCGGGGCAGGATGGTTGGTGCCTGTCCCGGGCTCCTGAGCGCCCTTCCTCATTGCTGGCTGCGGGGAGATGGCCTTCAGACCTCGGCCTCCCGGGTGCAGGGCTCAGGCCCCCTGACCCCCCAGCTCAGAAATGACTTTTCCTTTAAGCAAAGGGAAATTGTTTTAAGAAGCACAGGTTTACTCTCCCTTGAGCCCCGCTCTGCCGGGTGGCGCCGGGCCCCGCGGACCGACCGCCCGCTCCGCCCCCAGTTTGCAGACAAGTTCCAGGAGGTGAAGGAGGCCGCGCGGCTGGCCCGGGACAAGTCCCAGGACGGGGGCGAGCTGCCCAGCGCGGCCCTGGGGCTGGCGGCCCACCAGGTCAG